AGAGCTTCCATCCCCCAAAGGGGTTGATGCATCTGATATCACCAGCCCCAAGCCCTGCCTCTGTCCATTGTCCTCTATCCAGGTAAACTGGGTCACCTAGGCCTCTTCTCCTCTCTTCCGTCCTCTGGCCCCTCTGACTGGAACCGGCTGGTCAGGTCACTGGGGTCCTCTCTTCACAGCCCATTGTCCTCCCCCTGGCCAGAACTTGTTGTGACTCTTGGCCTGGGCACCAGGTCCCCAGTCGCTGGGGTCTCCATTCTCCAGGTCATTGGCTGGGGTCCCAAGTTCCATCGCTGGTCCTCTGTAACAACAAACTCCTTCTCCCATCACCGCGTTAAACCAGTAACGCCCAGGAAAACTGAGTCCCACCCCCTCTGCATGCCAACCATTGAAAACCAAGAAAATCCCCCACTTCGTCACACTGGTCTTTCAAAAGTTTACAACTGAACATGGACTTAATACAGCTTTGAAACTTAACTATGCCGAAGAAAAATGCTGCTTTTAACCGGCTTAATTTAAATGAAACAAGCACAGAAACAGTTTCCTTCTCTTGTCAAATCTTTCTTTTAAAACTTTCCCTTGATGTATTTAGCAGTTTATGTTTAACACAGAACTGTTCTGTATTTTTCTTGTGATTTTAAGTTATCTCAGCTGCCATGTGATTGCTCACTTCCAGTTCCAATGAGGGGTGTGGTTGATTGGTCAGTTCGTAACTCTGAGGTTCTACTGTAGTGGTCAGTGGAAGATTGAAGACAAGACCCTGTGGTCTCCTGGCTCCAGCCCGATGCACCTTCCCCAATGCTGCAGGGTGCACTGAGGGTGACCTCTCCCCCCTCCCCACAGAGACATAGACAAGCTGGGAGCTGCATGATGCTTGGCCAGGCTGATGGGCCCAGGGTTTCCTGGGTTTTGCAGGGACCTCTGTTTACTTTGGCTGCTCTAGATTTCGCCTGCAGATTAGAGACAACGTGTGATGGACGCAGGAAGAGATGAGACATCGTCGACTTCCTGTAGCTGGAGCCACCAGCTGAGTTCCTTATTTGGGGCTCGGTGGAGCTGGGCTCCGGGGTGTTGGTGGCAGCCCTGAGGGGCCCCTCACTGTCCCCATCATGGCATCTGCTCTCACCATCGTCCTCCTCAGTGAGTATCGGATAAAGCCAGGGCATGTGTCCCTTGGGGGGGATGGGATCCAAGACCCGGGTGTGTATCCATCGGGGGCAGGATCTGAGGCTCGAGCGTGCACCATGGGGGGATCTGAGATGAGGTTGTAGGATCCAGTTGCTTTGGGCTCTGGTCACTAACGAGCCATCTCCTCTCCAGGTTGCTGGCTGGCCGGTTACAGCAGGGTGTGGGGAGGTGAGTATCAGTCTGTGGGGAAGATGGTAACATCAAGGACAGGGGAGGGGATGCA